AAACCTTAAATCCTGAGATATAACCTTTAATCCTGAGATATAACCTTTAATCCTGAGATAGAACCTTTACTCTTCATATAAAACCTTAAATCCTGAGATATAACCTTTAATCCTGAGATATAACCTTTAATCCTGAGATAGAACCTTTACTCTTCAGATAGAACCTTTAATCCTGAGATGGAACCTTTATTCCTGAGATGGAACATTTAATCCTGAGATGGAACATTTAATCCTGAGATGGAACCTTTAACCCTTAAATAGAACTTTTAATCCTGAGATGGAACTTTTACTCTTCAGATAATCTTTAATCCTGAGATGGAACCTTTACTCTTCAGATAGAACATTTAATCCTGAGATGGAACCTTTACTCCTGAGATGGAACCTTTAATCCTGAGATGGAACATTTAATCCTGAGATGGAACCTTTAATCCTGAGATGGAACTTTTACTCTTCAGATAATCTTTAATCCTGAGATGGAACCTTTACTCTTCAGATAATCTTTAATCCTGAGATAGAACTTTTACTCTTCAGATAGAACATTTAATCCTGAAGTAGAACTTTTACTTTTCAAATAGAACCTTTAATCCTGAGATACAACTTTTAACCTTTAGATATAACATTTATTCCTGAGAGAACCTTTACTTGTCAGATTGAACCTTTAATCTTTAGATGTAACTTTTAATCCCTTCTTTAAAACTGCAGTTGTGCTGAATCTATATGCTTTATTTTTTTTACTTATTCTGTTTATGTTTTGTTTTTATAAAAAGAGGAGACATCTTATAAAGGCCGAAAGTAGATTTACAAACTTTTTATCCCAGTTAAATATGACTTTCCTGTCAATTGTAGCTGTTTATCTTGAGATGATGAATGTCTTGTTGAGCACTAAATGTGAAGTTAAAGGTGACATTTGTAAAGTAAATAACATTTTAAAAGAACAAAGTGGATGGTGTGTATTTACCCGCTTTGAGCTCTCTGTGCAGCAGAGCGGAGCCTCTCTGAATGTGGAAAGGGACGGTGGCCCGGAGGGGCTGCAGGCTGGGGTTGCTGCATCCCCGGGGCGCTCCTCCACTCCTGCCCGACATCCCTCCTCCCCTCCCCTCCCCTCCACGCACCCACGCTGCCCTCCTAGCCTAGTGGCGCTGATCCAAACACACAGTCAGCTTAAAGTTGGCTTCCCTTCGTTCGCTGCAGCTTCTTTTTTCTAACTGGAATCAGTTCCTCCGAGGCGCTGAATGCAGAAACTGCAGCACCTTTCTATAGTTATGAGCAAACTCATTTTTTCTCTCGCCTTGCTGTTTGATTAAGCGGAAGAAAGTCAGAACAAACCGTCTGAAGTTTTCAGTTTAAATCCGTGTGTAATATCTCAGATCGCCTCACATTCTGTAGTTTGCTTCCCTTCCCAGCAGAATGACAACAGCTCCACCTGTGTAACTTACTGGTTTGGCTTTATATTTGTAAGACTGGCTGATCTGGTTGGCTGCTGCTGAGCATTTCTCAGCGCTTATTGGATGCCACGTCTATCTATCTCCTGGAAGGAGAGCAAACCCCCTCCACCCCCCATCACCTCCAAAAAATTCCCACCCACTTTGTTAAGATTTTTGTGCTGCTTTGCAAGGCATGGGCCATCCATCCCCTCCTCCATTTAAACCCAGATCCATTCACTATGTGGACGTGCTCTCTCTCAAGGCATGGCTGGGGGCCTCAGAGGGTCCTGAGTTTCTGTTCTTATCCCAAAATGCCTTGTAAACAAACTGGCCTGAGTAATTACTGATATATAACATCAACTCTAAAATATTTTTTTGTTTGTTTGTTTGAAGCTGTTTTGAGATATGATATGATCAGAAAAAAAGAAAAAAATGTTGAGAAGAAAGCAGAAGGAAGCAAACATGTCTTACGTCAAACTTAATATACCTGCAATATTAAGATATCAGTTCTTTCTCTTAACTGCACAAAAAACAGGTGAGACTTTCAGTCTAAACACAGCTCTGTTATTAGCTTCTTGCATCACAGACACAAAGCTGGGGATGAAGTGATGTCAGATTTCTAATGTACGTTAGCCTTGATAAAGAATATATATATATATATATATATATATATATATATATATATATATATATATATATATATATATATATATATATATATATATATATATATATATATATATATATATATACATATATACTTTCATGTAATCCTGGTCATGGTTTTCATTAAGAAACACTGAACTGTTTAAGATAAAGGTGTTGCTTTTAATTAAATTAGTTTGGCAATGTTGATAACCTAGTGCTGCTGAAAAATCTTTACAATGATTAGAATCATCTTTGATATTGACAATTAATTATAAATTAATCAGCTCTGATTTATCAGCAGCTCAGATGTTGACAAAATTCTACATTTACTACTTATTAAACACATCAGAGATAAGAAATGTTTAAGTCTGATAAAAAATCAGACCATATACTAACATTTTCTATTTATGCATAAATGGGAATAATGTTATTTTATGATGATGATTCCAAACAACCAGTTTTAAGTTACATTTGTATATTGTATTTATTTTTGAGTCATAGATATAATTCTTTCAATTGAAAAAAATTGCTGGTGAAACCTCAAAGAAATCTGTACTGGCTGGGAAAGGTGTGATCGGTGCATCTTTCACAATGAAACGTAGACATGAGCAAATGGTAGAAAAACCAAATACATCCAAAAACTATGAAATTGTAGTTTTGTGCACTTTTTAAATATTATTAAATTTTCTTTCTTGTCAGCCAATGAGGTATTTAGTGGCTTTCCTTCAACTGGCAGACAGCTGATCTCAGAAAAACTTTTTGAACTGTAGAAATTGTACATGTACAACAAAAATTTTATAGAAGTTTAGAAGCCATAAACATTTAACTTTAATCATATCTCATATTAATAAAATTTTTTCCTTGGATTTAAAACTTAATTTCTTTAACATTAAGTATTTGTATATCAGGGCTACAGCTTAAATAATCATTGATATAAATTTTTACTGAAAACTGCAAAATAGAAAATTCAGGATAAAAAGCCCAAAAACATATTTAATTTTATTTTATTTACTCATTATGGTCAACAAAATAGAAAATAAAATAAAATCCAGAATTTCTACCAGCTCGAATGGATTTCTGTAGGTGGATGTTTTATAGGAACTACCCATCCTACAGAGATCAAATTCACTAAGTTGAGCTACTACGGTGGTTTGAACTTCAAAGTAAAGAAATATGTTTTTAAGATCTGCCACTAGATGGTGCTAGAGTAATGCATTTTTTTTTCTAGAAACGCCTTAAGATCTTTACTCAGACACAAATAATGGAAAAAGGCAGTTTATTGCAACAGAAAACAGAAACTGTAGATAAGTGAGAAAAAATACTGCTGTACTGGCTGAAAGGAAACACACAAACATATGCAATAGCTTATATCAGTAAACCAATGAACAGTAGCACAGGTTGGAAATACTGTATGAGTTTGTGTTGTTAAAGAATTCCAGGTAGAAATATCTGCACTATCAGAGGATTTTGACCCAGTTTCATCCAGTCATGATATTAAAAATACTGCTAAAGCCACATCTCTTAAAATGACCTTTACAGCCGTGTTTGCATTCAATCACCTGTGAACTGTTTTGGTTAAACGTTTGATATGAAAATTTAACAAAATGTGTACTTAAACACAGACAAAGCTGTGGCAAGATTACTGAACTTTGAAAACAACTGAAAAGCCAAATTGGGAAATAGGCTATAAAGATGTTGTGGAACAGTTTACAATGGATCAAATGGCTTAAAGTATCAAGTGATAATCTGGGTTAACAGAATAAAAATAAAGGAAATTTGTTCTGCTTCGTGTAAATCCAGATGCGGTGTCATAACGCTCCTGTTTTTATTTCTTTTAGATCAGAATGTGCAGGAGCTGTGTTTTTTTTCATCAACGCAGCATCACCAGGCAGGCAGGCTGGATGGGAGGGGGTGGGGTTAAGTTGTTGCTCTGGAGGTCCTAGCTGGGAGAGAGCGCAGGGCTGGGTTCAGTGCTGATGTTAACCAAGCACTCGCTGGACTTTAGGCTCGCCAGGGACTTGGAGCTCGGTAAGGAAGCCAGGGAGCCACACAGCCCCAGCATGGAGGGAGTGTTGTCTTTGCCTGAAACGGGAAAACAGAAAAAACACAATATAAAATCCAAGTTATGATCCAGCGTAGTTTAAACTGCCTACACAAGGCGACATACAGTGGGATCAAGCCTGCCTCTGTGCAAGTATAAGTATGCACATGTGCATGGGTGGCTTTCACTATGAGGCTTTTATACCGGGGTTCATTGCATGAATTTATTTGTTGCAGAACATGAACATTATTAGGTATTACTTAATATTTAACCAACAACATTAAAGATTGAAGTGATGTAACAGATAAAGTAGGACAAAAAAATAAAACATAAAAATCTGCATGTATAAAACAGTTATACCTTCTGAGGTCCAGGGAGCATCTCCATTCTGTCTCCCTTCACTTTTATCAGAATTCAGACTGAGTTCAGTAGAAAGTTGCTCCAGACTATGGAAACTCCTCCTTGATGCAGATGACATCACCAAAAGGAAAATAAGACGACAACAAAAAAACACAGAGTTTAAACTTCACGTTTTATTAAAACAAAGTAAAGTCATAAATTATAAAATAAAGTAAAACAACATGTAAGGTAAAATACTGTCATCCAGGAACAGGGTAATTCACTGTGCAAAAGGGTTTACCTGCGGAACAACTTGACATCGCATTGGTTGTTTTGGATGCTGGACCACTGGTTGATGAGCGGGACGGAGAGATCTTTAGCCAAATGGGAGGAATCGCAAGGCATGAGGGCAGAACTGATGGGAAGAAACAAGTTATTGCTATGAGAGTTAAATATTTTTATCACAAAGTACTGAGTTGCAGGTATCGTACTTATTACAGACAGGACCTCAGGGTTCCAAGCTCTATCCCCTAACCACTAGACCACCACTCCCTAACACCATTCCCAGAAGTGCTGCAATACCAGGTTGATGCGTAGAGTGGACAGAGCCCTTTTTCCATCTCCCTGTTCCAAAAAGCAATTTATTTTATATGGTGCCCGGACAGGGGACGTATCAGATATGAAACTGATAAGAATAGATAAGAACAGATGCACTTGATCTTAGCCAAAAGGCTGAGAAGGATATTATATGTAAAAGTCTTCAAAAACAGCATTTGTTTGAAGATCATTTAAATATTCTCAAGGACTTGAAAGTTAGTCATGGAAAAACTGAAATATTTAGGAATGTATCTACTGCGTTATTTATGGTCTCACCGATGTGTCTGGTACCTGTTTTAATTACTGTTTAGGAAATAACAGAAAAGGGCTCTAATGGCTCCAACGCCTACAACAGTAATTCAAATTCCCCATTTGATCAACATGTTAGGGAAGCAAGCAATCTACTAATGTTTATGATATTAGATAATTATTAGATAATCCTGTTCCTTGTTGGACTTTGCAGTGGCAGAGTTAGTGGCCCTGTTGTGCCACAAAAGTCTTGAATTTTGGGTGGATTTTGTTCTACCAACACGGGTTCCCTCTGTGTTTCCAACTCCCTCCAACAGCCAATAAAACATGACTTTTAGGTAACATGGTTACCCTGAATTACCCTTAGGTATATGTTTAGGTGTCTGTGATGGATGATTGACCTGTCCAGGATCCCCTCAGCGAGTCAGAAGTTAATGCTGTTCATGCTTTTTGGACGTGTCTTGTCTGTTGATCATCAAAAATCTATTAATATTAGACATTTCCAATGTTTTGGAAGAAATTTTGGTCCAAAGAATGGGCAGGAAGCATAGAGGAGTCTTTGTGTGGATGTTTACACAGCCTGTAGCTAAAAGGTTCAGGTGAACAAAACATCAGAACAGAGAAAGACATAAACAGGTACAACATAAGTAATGGAGAAAAAGGAGGATAAAACCCCCTGGTCTTATACTGGGGGAGGGGAAACTGAGTTTCTATTTGATAGTAGGCTAAAGTTGTGCAACGAGAAAACAGCTGGACTGTCCAAGGAAAGGAAGCCATCTTCCATTTGAAAAACTAAAAGATTGACAATCACAAAGGAAGAAAATAATACCAAGAGAAAGAGGAGTTAAAGGCTATGCACACTCTGTTATCTTTCGGTTTTTCTTTCCAGATAGAAAAATCTAAATGTGAATCCTCACAGTTGTGCCTGCAGTTCCAGCACGATGGCCTCCAGCTCCTTCTTCTCCTGCTGGCCTTGCAGCGTTAGCTCCTCCACCTTGGCTCTGAGACGCTTGTTCTCCGTCTCCATGTTTTTCAGCTGCGACTCGCGCAGGCGCACAAGCTCCTCCAGATACCCCTGCATAACAGTAACTCACAGTTAGAGACGGATAAACTGGATTGAAGAAGGTTGAGCTTAGAGGTCACTGAGAACCACCTTCTGGGCGTAGACGATCTTAAACCTTTGCTCCATCTTGCGGCACTTGTTGCTCCAGCTCTCCTCATCAGTCACCAGAGGGATGTAGGGATGCTCAGGGACGCTCTCCTCACTGTTGCTGCTGTCCACACTGCGGCGTTCCTCCTCATCACTCAGATAATCGTAGCTGCGCAGCAAAAAAGCAGCATCAAACTAAACACAGGTCCTTATAGAGTGAACTGACCAGCAGGGTGAATCTCTAGCCTCGTGAGACCATCCTGATCTTGCGAGCTTTCAAGGTTTCACTCGCAGATATGCGGAGCAAATCCAGCAAATCCATCTGGCGGAGTCAGGTTAGTGAATCTCACCTCTGAGTGAACTTCAGGTAGGGCGTGTAATCAATCACAGCCGGGGATTTCCCATCCAGAGCCTCTCCCTTCAAGCAAAAACTGAACCCAAAATACAGATAATGCAGATAAGTTACAATATTTACCATCTTAATAAATTACAAGTAATAACATACTGTGATTGAACATAAAAACAGCATGAGCAGCTGCAGGTATTGATATTTTCAAAACACATGGAAACCTGACCTGAAGTCAATGGCGCTCAATCCAATCAGCATGCCAGTCAGTACGGTAGCCTCCTCCCTCAGCATTATAGCACCTTCATCATAGAACCTCCTGTTGAACAAAGAGTCAAGAAACAAACCCATTAACCAACAACATTTTCACATTTTTCTCCAATCTTTCAATTGGACACAATGGAGCCTCTCTATAACCTCAGTATATCATTCCATTGGTCGGAACATCCAATCAGAGGACAGTTCCTTTGTCTCTTTAGATCCACAGGCTAATCAACTGAGACATTGAAGAAAACTGATTTTATGTCAGATAATGCCAAGATGTCACTTTCAGCTGCAGCTTTCCAGTTATAACTTAAGGCAGGAAACTTTTTCATGACCAAGATGTGCATTTTTTGTGCAGAGCAATAAAAGTTAAGTCGGACCTGGTTGTTCTGGTGTCCCTCAGAGCAGTGGACACATATTCAGACAGACGCTTCTCCATCAGAGCTACTCTGATCCACGCCCGACCCTGTGGGGCAACAGAAGAAGTCAGCGGGAACAGAAGGCCTTCTCTCTGACATCAATCCACCCCCCCCTCAACAAACACACAAAGCTGTGCATATTGATGTTCTTGCCTTGGCTCTGGATGTGCTGATGTTCTCTATGTTCTCAATGCTGGCGATGCAGCTGTTCTGCACCTTGCTGCACGCCAGGCGAATGTACTCCCAGAAACTGCGTTGTCCATCGGAGCTAAACCAGCTCCCTGAACCTGTTCACAGATGGAAACACAGCAGGAGATCATTTCTGCTCAGACAGCGAGCTAAAACTGCAGGATATGGTCACATCGACAGGCTGTCACTGACTATGATTATATGTTGTTGTTTTTTTTGCTTCATATGTTACCTGCAGTGTTACCTTTGAAGCGGTGGCCCAGGATGTGCTCTAAAATAGCAGCAAAGTTAATAAACTCCTCCGATGAATCATCTATAGGCTCTGCTGTGTACTTTTCTAGAAGAGTCTTCACAGAAAATCTGAAAGACAAGGAGATGGAAAAGGAGTTAGAAAACTGCACTCAGACTAAAGGGGAAAACATTTATGTTTTGATGGTTTTGTGCAGCATGTCCCTTGCAGCTGAGTGCTATACTGTACTAAAGCTAACAAATGTAATACTGTATCTAAACAACAGCAGGGAGGGGGGCTTTTTTCTTTCTTTTTTTTTATTTGGGAACCACGCCATCTTATACTTCTGAGGTCACCCCAATTGTCCTGTGTGTTTGCACAAAGCACCCTCTTCAATGCATCGGCTTTGTTATCATGCAAAAGCACACAATTAACCCCCTGTCTGTTCAGTATTGCTTCACTTCCAGGTCCTTTTGGATCTTGTCTCTCTGAGGGACCGGCCAGCATCAAAGCATGATCAAATAATTCCCTCCCCCTCATCTATACATTGTGGTGTGATCTATTTAGGGCAGCTGCAGCAGCTTTGGTTTGGCTTTTTGACCTCACATGCTTGCCCTTCTGCATCACAGAAGGACCTGCTATGCAGCGTGAACGATAGCTGGCATCCAAGCACGGGCTCGGGGTGACTGCCTCCGCTTCAATGGGCAACACCAGCATCACAGAGGGAAAGACTGCCCTGGCAGTGGGGAGTACCTCCATAGCCAGGGGAAAGACTACCGTTTCCTTAGGCAACTCCTCCATCTTCAGGGGAGTGACCACCACCTCCATGGGAGATTCCACCATCCAAAGGCAAAAGACGACCGTTGCTCTGGGACGGGCCAGCTTCAGCCGGGGAACCACCACCACCTCCTTCCGCAAAGCGCTGACGTCCAAGCGCAGGAACACCTAGATGGAGAAGGACCCCGAGCCGAGGGCGAAGACACCCAAAACAGCCAAGCAGTCCAAAAAAGACTCTAACAATGAGTGGAAAACTACATTCTCATCAAGCAAGACCTCTTTCACCAAAGGCAGGGTTTCGTTCCTGAGGACAAAGTTGTTTATTTCCTGGGGAAAATCCTCATTTTCCTGGAGCAAAACCACTGTAGCTTTGGGCAGCAACAGCATAACGGTGGCTGTAACTTCTGTGACGCGGGGGGAGACCACAAGCTCTCTGATGACTCTTACCTTTACCTATGGGACCAAATCTGTGTCTGTTGTCAAGACCACCCTTACAAGGGGAAAAGAAAAGCACAGCAACGTCTACTGGGATTTTCACACTTGAATCCTGCACACACATAAAAGCTAATGGATGTGTCTTTGTGGTCAGTTTTAGAAGGTCAGTAGTCACGGTGAGCTGCTATATTTGGGATCAAATTTAACCCATCTTTATTTTTTACTGTTACGAAATTAAACAAAAAAGGGAAACTCCCCTTAAGAAAAAGAGACCTATGAAGCGTGCAAAGGATGTTATGCAAATGCAATTGTGATGCGATGAGGCTTTGTGGTGTGTTGAGATCAGCAGGGAGGGGAATTGTGAACAGATGTGATGTGATATATGTGGCCATGCCAGAACAATTCTCCCGTTCTGTGCAGCCATCTACATGTCCACATCCGTGGGAGTTCTGTGCATTCCAATGAGTCTTTCTTGCATTCCCATGATTAGGCTGCAAACTGTATTCCCAACAAAACTGTAAAAGTGTATTAATGTTTTAGTGCATATAAAGATAATACCTCTAAACTCTGCTTTGCCTGATTGTTCCTGGTTGTTTTGTGTGTAGTTACTGACTTTAACGTCACTATAAGTCGATTTATGTTGACAGTTAACTGGAAATGAACATGAAAGGAGAGATGTAAAGCCTCAGATCCAGATCTGTGGGGAACATCAACATCAACAAAGTGCAGCTTTACATATGGCACATACAGCTGTAGACAGAGGGGACGTCTTACAATCGGAGGCTGTAGGGAACAATGGTCGAGAAGAAAGTGATGTCACCGCGGACTGTCCTGTTTTTAACAATGTGTCCTTCAACCGTCCGGTGTCGTCGTGTCGAAGGGACAATCGCCCCACTGTCCGAGTCCCCCCAGATAGGCTGCATCCACCTACGGCTGCCTCTGTCCATTCACAGGACACTTGGGTGGTATGTGGCCTTCCAAAGCCCACGTAGACCAGCTCAACGAAGGCATTATGCCACACGGGGGTCGCGCTGTCCATGTTTAGGATTCTGGTCCTCTCTCCATCACATCTGATGTTACTATTAACTCTGAAGGCTAACGGAGCAGGGCGTGCTGCATGAGTGTGAGATGCTTAGTGTGGAGTGAGTGCCGAACCCCACCGTCGAATCTGGGTCAGCAAGACAAGCTTCACCTCAATGGGCAACACCAGCTTCACAGAGGGGAAGACAGCTTTAACGCTGGGCAACACCACCATAAAGAGGGGGAAGACCAAGCTGGCCATGGGGAACTCCTCCATCACCCGAGGCAAGAGCACCACTTCTCTGGGCTCCTCCACCATCACCAGTGGGAAGACCAAGATCTCACTGGGCAGCGCCTCTTTCAGCAGGGGCTCCACCACCACGTCTTTTCGGAAAGCCCTCTTCCCAAAACGCAAGACAAAGACGATCTAGATGACACAGGGCCACATCCAGAAGTAGGGGGACAAGAAGTCATGAGACAAATGCGGGACAGGGAACATTTGGAAATAACGACACGGGCTCTAGTCCAACCATGGGTGAAAACTGGATTAAATTTACTTTTGGGGTTTTGACTTTTCTCCTTCATGCCGGAATTATCAAGGAAAGAGGTCAGTGGCATTTACATCCTGTCACATAAACCCTACCCTGCTTTTTAAATGTATTTTAACGCTAAATTGTTTTGTTTTTTTTGGAATATTGTAAATATTAAGCAATATTTCAAGCAGACAGAGCAACCGCTACAAGTTACAGGGGCGGTTCAGTCATCACATTTGCACTTGTAAAACTCTCCTCTTCAGGCTGCAAAAGAAATCCTCATTAGATGAGGATCTTCATCTAACCTTTATTCCTTATGTTCATTAACACAGTGCATGAAAACTACTGATTAATGGTTAAGATTACCAAGGTACGCTTCTAAAAAAAGCTCTTCCTGACCGATAAGGCATTGGCACTGTTATCTCAAGATTGTAGCAGATATTTGGGAATTTACTGAGGCCCTTTGATCAGAAGGACGCCTTAAAAATGCAAATAGTTTGAGTGGAACAGCAACATGGTCTTGGTACGATTTGACACTGAAAAACAACTGCTCGGCTTTCTGACAAGCTTCTTTTGTGCCCCCTCTTGCTCCACCCTGGATCTCTGCCAATCCCCACTCAGCACTGACTAAATACCCCCTTGTTCTCCCTTTCTCACCTATCCACTGTACTTACAGGAAAGAGTTTGAGCTACAGCAGCATACAAAGACCAAAATGCCATTTATCAGCAGTGACAGCTAACCCAAATGCAGACGCTGACCCCTTTTTCTCCCTACAAACACTTCCCTGACATCTTTCTCCTTCTCTCTCCTCTTGTATTCTTTCTCTCCCCTCAGTCTTGGCCTAACCAGCAGGATCAGATGACACTACCGAACCCATCGCTGGCAGCAGCTGCACCAAAAGAGACACTCTTTCCTCCACTGGACTGGCACAAGAAGTCAACATTTGTTTTCTTGTAGTTTGGGTCAATTCCAAAAAGAAAAGCAGGTCCCTTTTCTCACAATTCCCCTCTGTGACGAAGCGTCAGAGCAAAGTGTTTTATGGTCAGCGGAGGTGCGGACGGATCTGGGCGTAAGATGGACAGTCAGGGTGTTTGATCGAGAGATAATAAATGAGTAAATCGGATCTATTCACAGGAGAGGAGCTTAAGTGAGAGCAAGGGGATCGGCTGATGAGTTCTCCCAAAACGTACTGAAACCTCTGCTGTAATTATAGATACTTGACAGAGTTACATTAGTTCAGAAATCATGAAAAATGCAAAAGAAAGGTTGCGCAAATGTAAAAAAAGCACATCCAAATTTGAATATTTGACAGAAAAAGGGGGGATAATGCACAAGAATAAGCAAAGTTGCACATTCCATCCCAGTAAATGTGGATTTTTGTGTTTACAACCGTTTTTATCCTTTTCTGTCAAACGCCTCAGAGGATTAGCTCATGTCTTTACCTTCCTGTGCCTATTGGAACTCCACCAATCACCTTTCTCACTCATCTTATGTATTCCTCAGGTCCTCCGTGTCCACAACAACACTCATCCTGCAGTCACCGACCACCTTGGACATCTTAGCCAGAATAAAAGCAGCAAACCGGTCAATTTTACACCAAACAGAACAGGATTTTCGGACTGTTATTACTGCTTATTGAAAACATTTGGTCATGTTAGGCTCCAAAATTTAACTCTCTGCAGGAAGCTTCAGCTGAGTTAAAGTAAAAAAAAACCTGTTGCCACTGGCAACTGGACATGCTTCACCACATTTGTCCTCCAATATCAATGCTGCCACTAGAGATTCATGCCACGAAAAACACTTCTGTTAAACATCTCTTCAATATTCACAGTGTTTGTCTTGTTTGTTACGTTTTGCCTAGATCAGAAACTGTTCCCTGACATTTTGCAAATATATGCTCTAGTTTCAAGGTTCCCCTTCACGACACACAGGTGTCCTCTGGTAAAAATGTCTTTAATTAAAGTAGGTATAGCTCAGATCATCTATGTATGATTCTGACAAGAAGCTTAGAAAAAAAACTATTTCTTCCGAAAGCAGAACTGAAACCATATTCTGTTTTTCCCACCAACACAAATTAAGAATTGAAAGAAGTTAATCTGTGTTGCTGACTATATGTTAAAAATATGTTTTACCACTGAGGGAATAGACTTTTTACATTTATACACATATATCAGGATACAATAACAGCTTGGCACGCCGCACTAATGAAAAGCACTAACATCATTTAGCTCATGTAGCTATCCAGGTATCTGTGTCTGGATTGTGGATAATTTATCAGAAGATCGCCCAGGCTGCTGTCATGCCCAGCCAAAGGGTCTGCTGCTGATTCAGCATCTCCCCTCATTAAGGCTGCACCATCGCATAACAACTGCTCACATCACCTCAGAGCGTCTGGTGTTGTAAAAAAGGTCAGAAATATGAGGAAAGAGAAGATCAGACACCTGTAAAGACACCTGGAGAAAAATCTCCATTTAAGTGAACTTAATCGTTAAAAGAAATGAGGGAAATAAAGAATTTGGAGTTAGCGTTACTGACACAAAGCATTGTGGGTATTATTTCTGTTTTGTCTTGTATTTGTCATTAAAATGCTCATATGATTAAAAGTGTCCTAGCACGGTCAGGGCAAAGGGAAAATAAGTGTTTACGGTTCCTAGCTAATCTTTGTGTTCAAAGTCCAGTGTGAGGTTTGTTGATTTGTTATTTTCTTTGCAGGCATCCTCTGCTTTGTGTTGTGTGTTGTGCCTCAGTGTATCTCACTTTAATGCAAAAACGACCATAAAAAGAATAAAAATGCTTGACTGCGTGTCTACCTGGGAATCTGCATTTATTTTACGCTTTATTTTTCTGATATAGTGGTGTAATGAAAGACAGCATGGGTGTGTGTGTGTGTGAGTGGGATTGAATGGTGGATGGTTCATTGCATTGAATATGATGCAGATGATAAGAAATCACCTCTGTTATAATTTTATTATATAATCTAAATTATTATAATCTAAAATTACTTTAGAGGCATTAAAAAATAGATAAAATCAGTATTAACAGTTGTTTAGCCAATTTAAAATTATATAAATTAACTTAAAATTTAACTTTATTTACATTTGTATGAAACAATGTACAATAGGTAAAAAAAAAATAAATAAATTCAGAATTCCCCTGATTTACATGTCTAGGTGAGTCTAAGTATGTTCAATTCAGTCTTTCCACTGGAAAAAAAATCAAAATCTAGATAAGTCATTTTTTTTCTTAAAATAAGTGCATTTGTTCTTGAATTGAGGAGATAAAAGAGACATTTTGCCAATAGAACAACACAATTTAGATTTTTTTTAATTCATTTTCTTATTACAAGTGCATATTATCTCATTATCTTATTTTAGGACTAAAAATACTCATTCCATTGGCAAATTATCTTATTTACCTATTCAAATCAAGAGTAAATACACTTAATTTAAGAAAGTTTAACTTATTTCTAGATTGTTTTTTTCCAGTGCACATAAATCCAGCTTTTCTGGAAAAATCCTCACAGGTTTCTTAGAGAACAATTGACAACAATCTGCCTCATAAAGACATAAAAACAAGGTGTCTTTCTTTAATGGGGTTATAGAACAAAAGAATAAAAAATAGCAGGACAAGAGTGCTTCTTTTAGTATATTTGATGAAATAAAGCCAAAGTTGAAGACCTCTGATATACGTTTGAAAACTGTGATCCTCTTAATATGGCTTAAGCTTAACCTAACAGTCGTTTCTGAATAATAAATAAAATTAAATCGTACATGCAAATTTTAAACTGATCCGAGGAATTAATCAGTTATGGTCTCTTTTGTTAGCCCATACCATCATAAGAAATGTATAGAGCATTAGACTGCAAAGACTGATCCAAAAATAGGTAAAAATGTCTTGAAATAAGTTTATTTTCCCTTCATTGGAGCAGGTAAATAAGATGATCTGCCAAAGGAATTAGTATTTTCCCCCTTAAAATAAGATTATTAGATATCATGCACCTGAAATAATATAATGGATTTTTTTTCTTACTTTAAAAGTAAATCATCTTATTTCATTGGCAAATTAAATATATGTAAAATATAGTTATTTCAAGAAAAAAAAAATGTCAATACCAATTTTTTGGCCTCTAGAAACACAATGGGGTAAAAAAAAAAAAAACCCTGAATGTTAAAACTGTAACTACACGGTCATATGTTTACATTACTGTTTTTCATCACAATGTTTTTATCACAGCTGTTTCCTTATCAAGGCTGCACTTTAAAAAATGAAAGTCTACATTTGCTTTTATTTGTTCATGCTCCGGGTGGTTGTTGCCTTTATTCCACTCTGTATTCACATGAGTGAAGTCTTTGTCTACTTTATAATAAAAAAAAGAAACAATTTTGAAAGTTCGGAGTGAAATTCTTTACATGCTTTGTGTGTCAACTGACATGGCTGCTAAGCGACAGAGCGGTAAAAGCCACTGAAGCCTAGACCTGTTCGAATCCACAGCCTAAACTCGTCCGGTCTCCTTATTTTCAATGACTTCAAATGATCCAGTCCAGGTAGATCACCTCCTTGGAAAATGCAGCCCATAAGTTCCAACAGAGCCACTGTCTCCAGTCTGAGCAGAAGCTATTTTCCAAAGACAAATAAAAGAATAGCAGTATCTTCTTTTTCTTTTTTTCATCTGGATATGCAGCAGAATGAGTTGTTCAACAAAATAGTGTTAACTGAAACATTTCCAGTTTAAACCTTTGATAACTGTAGAGTTTATTGGCTTCTTGACAGCACCAGGGGCGGAGCTAGATGGGGGGTCCAAGGGGGGCCATGGCCACCCTTAGCCAATCATTTGCTACCCTTACCATTTATTTCCCTCTAATACAGATGGTGGCAACAGTAATACTCTCAAATAGATAATTCAAAATATTTTAATTTAATATATTAACAATTACTTGACAACAAAAACACTGTGGTTAATTATGCACATCAATACACTAACAAGTACAGTATTCATGCTCTTTTTCGTATTTTATGGGGTAAAGAGAACTTGATGTGTCTCTGCAAGTCATCTAGGAGTCTTCAGTGACATCATAGATAAATAACTATTTTAATAAAACATAATAAATAATCGTTTTATGTAGATATTAGTACTTGTTAATGTCAACTTTATGCAGAATGATTACTGATAAAAATAGGAAAGTGATGACAATGGAAAAGATGTTCACCCAAAACTCAAACCTGAAAGAATTTTATCCACTATACCTTTTATCTAGAAAGCACGGATGTTTGAATATATTTGTCTATTTGTTGGCAAAGACTGTAGGAAAGTATAGTTTGCCTTTATTTAGAAAATATGGATGTTTTGCTAGTTAATTTTCCTGTTGGAACGGTGTAGACTGACCCTGAGGTTCTGGTGTCTATCTACTTTCGGCCACCCCTCAGTGTACATCGGTTATTGCCTGGCCACCTTTATAAAGATTTTCTGGCTACGCCTCTGGACAGCACACCTTGCAGTGGATGAAACAGGATAGAGGACATCTGATGTGGGGAGGAGTCCTTGCAAAGCTCCCTATGCCCTTGTCCTGTTCAGCTGTCAGTGAGAGGCTGGTGCATTTTTCCTTCTGGTTTATGGACACATCACTGATAATCTCATAGAGACTGAAGACATGACATTAGAAAATAGATCTCATTGAGTCAACTAACTACCACATGAAATAAAAAAAAATAAAGGCAGAATGAACTCTTGTTGGAGTATAAATGGACTGAAATATTTTCCTATTCCTCTGTTAATAGCAGTTGTTTGTGAAGGTGAGAACACACCTGCCTCATATTACTGAGTGTTTTATTCTGAATAATATTCTTTTTTTACTCTGAAAAATAAACATGGAGCGTCGATCGGGTCGTGATCTGTACCTGCAGACCGTGATGAGGTTCTTTCGCTCCACCGCTACGCTCCTGGCAGAAGCCTTCTTCGATGTCAGACCCAGAGCCATGGCTGTCTGAACGCAGCCTGACTCCATCCAGACCCGGCCTCTCTGCGGGGTCCGCACCCAGGCCAGGACCTCTCCCTTAGCAGGGCCTGCGTCCTTCCAGCACCCGGTGTCCTCTGCGGATGGTGATGATGATGCTGCTGCTGATGCGGCGGAGATGAGTAAATGAAAATTACATGTGTAAAATTAGAAATAGTTCCATAAGTAAGATCCGGCTAATTCCTTCAAAATAAAACACATTTTTCATCATATAAACAGCTAAAAAAAACTAACGATTGTTAATGTTGTTGTAATGGTTTTAAATGTTTTTTTTTTTTTTGCAAGGAAATTGATGAAAATTAAGTTTTTATTGTAATGCCCGAACATTAAATATATAGAATTTGAAGACAACAAAGGTGGGCTAATTTCCTTTCTTCATCACTTTAAAATAAAAAATGGAGAACTTTTTGACCACAATATGTTCGGAAATGTTCTTGTGCAGGTCTTCTGTCCATCCATGCACTTGATGCAGAATTTTAATTTGTCCTTTCCTTTTATTTTTTCTTGACTTCTTCGCTGCTTCCCTTTTAGTAAACACGGGGATGTGCAACTCTTCTTTGTACCAGCAGGGGGAGTAAAAGAGCGCCCAACGCTCTCCAAAACAGTAGAGGGCGCTGTGACTAAAAAAGTACAGGCGCAGCGTCCCGATTCACACTCCATTCCAGTAGATGGCGGTAATGCGCATAAAAAAAGGTTGCTTGCCAGCCGCAAAAAAAGAAAAAAAAGAGAAGAATAATAGGCAAAATGGCGGAATCAACGGATCCCAAAACACCAACTTGTACCTTTCTGTTCAAAAAATCGACAAAAAAATTCTCCGGACGCAAAAGAAAAGCAAGTGACAGCGATAAAGGTAAGTAATTGTAAATGATACAGCGTTGATTTGTTTTTAAATTGTAAATTTAAAGTGCTGTTTCCCTTTTTATTTGGTTACGTTCGTGTGATTTTTACCTCCAGCATTCGCTAAAATGATTGAACGGAAGTTTTCAAAATGATCCTTGTATATCATAGTTATGTTTTAGCTATATGCAGCTTTTAGGTTTACACAGAACTATACTGACTGTGTCATTTTGAGACAATTCGTACTGCTTTCTAATTTCTACGATAAAAAAATAGAAAAATTAAAAAGCAGTTGATTTGTATGACCAAAGAAAAGACAGGTGGCTGTTAATGAAATGTTCGGGCTCACCTCTTCTAGAGAGTAACAGTGACGAAGACCAGTGTGCTGTGATCAGAAGAGAAAGGAAAGATGCGAAGGTCAACCCCATGATTCAGAAGGTAAGTTAATAACAGGAAATATTAATATATTGATAGATTTGAGGTAATTGTGACTCAGACATATTATTGTTCCAGACCAAAAGGGTGGAGAGAGATGCTGTATCTTCTAGTGAAAGTGAAGATGACAAAGATGACAAGATCACAGTTTCCTACAAGTCTACAAGATCAGCGGTGAGCCTCATTTTCTGCTGCTCTCTTCACAACCTTTCATTGTTGGCTGTTGGACTATTCTTTTCAGACATGGCCTAAGATGAGAACTTTTCAGGCAGCAAATATTGAGATTTAAACCAGTTTTTCAAGTATTGTTTGTTTTCTTGAAATGGGCTTTATAAAAAAAAAAAAAAAAAACATGTGGATCTGTAAAATACATTGCAATTTTATAAGCCAGTGTCAGTAAAACAAAGAACTGCAAGAATTTGGATGCATATTTTCATATTTTAAAAGAACCATACATAAACACTGTGGAGATTAATTATGTGGAAATATATTAACATGTTCTGGTAAAGTAATTTAGACTTAACAA